TCCCATCCCCATGAACAGATTCTCACTTTTTTCCTAAACAATGGCTTTCCCTATCCCCTCTCCCCGCTCCCCGCCACTAATAAACTTTGGTTTCTATATATTTGCTTATTCTACATGTTTCATCTAAGTGGCAACATACAGTATTTGTCTTTTTGTGATTGACTTATGTGAAGTTAAGGTTTTTTGATGGGATGATTCATTCGTTGGTTCGTTTAACATCCTACTGAACACTTCCTATGTGTCGAGCACTGTTGTAGACACGACACTGTGGATATCAAAGTACGCAAAAGAAACCATGTGCCCCTTGGAGGTGACAGTGTGGTTGGGGAAACAGACTATAAAATTAATAAGTAAGTTCTGTATACTTATGTGTATGTGGGAGCCCAGATGGTGCAGGGTTAAAAGCTTGGCTGCTCAGCAAGAGGTCAGCAGTTCGAATCCACCAGCTGTATCTTGGAAACCGTATGGGGCAGTTCTACTCTGTCCTAGAGGGTTGCTAGGAGTTGGAATCGACTTGATGGCAACGGGTTTGGGGTGTGTGTGTGTTAAAAGGTGACAGCGCTTTGTTGTGTGCTATTGAGTCAATTCTGACTCACGGTGACCCCATGGGACACAGTCGAACTGCCCAATAGGATTTTCTAGGCTGTAATCTGTACAGGATTAGATCGCCAGGTCCTTTCACCCGCGAAGTGGCTGATGGGTTCGAACCACCCACCTTCCGGTTAGCAGCCAAGTTCTTAGGTGTTGCCCCACCAGGGTTCCTTGGTAGCACTTTAGAGAAGTGTGAAGTGGGGACAAAGGATAGGAGTGTGTGGGGAAGGGGCAAGGCCCTGAAAGTATAAACCAGGTGCCCAGGGAAAGCCTTGTGGAGAAGTGACATTTGAGTGAAGACTTGAAGGAAGTAGGGAAGTGAGCAAAGAAATTATTTGCATCCAGGCAAAGCGAACAGCCGGTGTAAAGTGTGGAGGCCATTGTGGCTGGCGCCAGGGGAGCCAGAAGGAGAGGAGACAAGGACAGGGAGGTGACGGGGGCGTGGGGGACTGTGCCTTTATCCTAAGAGAGATGGAGACACAGGAGGGCTCTGAGCAGAGCAGGCATGTGACCTGACTCAGGTGTTCACAGGGCCCCTCTGGCTGCGCGTGGGGAATAGGCAGCAGGGGAGAGAAGCAGGGAGCCAGTGATGGTCCAGGTGAGAGGGGGTGAGAATGGATGAGTTCACCCAAGAGAGCGAGTGCTGGTAGAGCATAGAAGTGGTTCAAAGACTGAGCTCTGAAAGGAGAGTGAAGAAAACCAAAGACACAAGGGAAAAATTAGCCCAAAGGTCTAATGGGCCACAACTACCATGGCCTCAACCAGACTGAGTCCGGCACTGCTACGTGGTGCCCAGATACCACCACCAACTGCTGTGACCGGGATCACAATACAGGGTCCCGGACAGAGCTGGAGAGAAGGGTAGAACAAAATTTAAACTTACAGAAAAAAAGAGCAGGCTTACTGGTCTGACAGAGACTGGAGAAACCCCGAGAGTATGGCCCCCGGACACCCTTTTAGCTCAGTAATGAAGTCACTCCTGAGGTTCACCCTGAAGCCAAAGATTAGACAGGCCTGTAAAACAGAATGAGACTAACGGGGCACAACAGCCCAGGGACAAGGACGAGAAGGCAGGAGAGGACAGGAAAGCTGCTAACGGGGAACCCAAGGTCGAGAAGGGAGAGTGTTGACATGTCATGCGCTTGGCAACCAATGTCACAAAACAATATGTGTATTAACTGTTTCATGAGAAACGAGTGTGCTCTGTAAACCTTCATCTAAAGTTCAATTTAAAAAAAAAGTTTGACCTGAGAAAGTTGGAGACTTACAATTAAATTTCAGTTAAAATCATAAAATAAAATTATGATAGAAAAATCAAAAACAAAGAGACTAAGCTCTGACATTTTGAGCTCAGAGAGAGGAGGAAGCAGCCTGGAAATGACAGGGAGCCACCAGGGAGATGGACCCTGGAAGGCACGGTTTCCAGGAAGCCAGGTGAAGAAAGCTCTCCCTGGAGAGAGGTGACCGGTCCTGTGAGATGCTGCAGACAGGTCAAGCCACGTGAGAACTGAGCGGTGACCACTGACTTCGCACCAGAGAGGTCATCGGTGACCGTGACAAGAGCATTGAGTCACAACCAAAGAGGCAAGGCCTAATTGTTGTTAGCTGCTCGTGAGTCGGCTGCAATTCATGACAACCCCGTGTGTAACAGAACAAAATGTTGCTCGGACCTGCGCCATCTTCACAATCATTGGTATGCTCCAGTCCATGGTGGCCACTGTATTTTGAGTGCCTTCTAACCTGGGGACTCATCTTCCAGCACTATATTGGAGAATATTCTGTTGTGATTCATGGAGTTTTCATGGGCTAATTTTCGGAAGTAGATCTCCAGGCCTTTCTTCCTAGTCTGTCTTAGTCTGGAAGCTCTGCTGAAACCTATCTATCATTGGTGACCCTGCTGGTATTTGAAATAGCAGGGGTGTAGCTTCCAGCATTACGGCAACACACAAGCCATTATAGGAGGACAGACTGACAGATGGCTGGTGGCACAGTGGTTAAGAGCTTGGCTGCTAACCGAAAGGTTGGCAGTTCAAATCCACCAGCTGCTCCTTGGAAACCCTATGGGGTACTTCTGCTCTGACTATAGGGTCGCTATGAGTTGGAATCGACTCGACGGCAATGGGTTTGTTTCTTTTTATTTTTTTTTGGAAGGAGGAGAAAACATGGAGGTAGCAAGTATAGACAACTTTTCTGAGAAGTTTTACTATAAAGAGGAGCAAAGGAAATGAGGCCATATGTAGCTGGAAGAGGAGGCGGGGTCAGGAGAGGGTTTGTTTTAGGGAGAAGTGACTGTGTGGGGGCTGACGGGATGATCCCCTGCAGAGGGGAACTGAAGGTGCAGCAGAGACAGGAGAATTGTGGGGCTCGGGCCTGGAGTAGGCGGGAGGAGGAGGGGGATCTACGTAGACCGGGGCAGCCCCCATGAGAGAGCCAGCGCAGGCCCAGGTCAGTGGTAGATGGGTGGGGAGGGGCCTGTGGAAGTTCACCCACATTTCTTCCAAATTAATAAGCAAGGTTGTCAGGTGAGAGTGAACGAGGGGGAAAGGTGTTAGGGATCGGGGGAGGGGAGAAGGTGTGAATTAGTTGTAGAAAAGAGAGGGAGAGTGAGTGCACGAGAGAAGGGTCACATGGGCAGCACTGAAGACCCACCAGAAGGTCATGTTCACAAACTTGAAGTCGACCAGCCAGTGGGATTGTGTGCTGCTCTCTGGCCACCTTAAGCTGTGTGGACACAGGCACCCAGTAAGTACAGGGTTGGATTTAACCAGGGTCAAGCGTAGAAGGAAGACGGGGCAAGGGTGTTGAGGGTGTGTGCAAAGAATGTTTATCATTATTAACTGTGGAATTCAAGCTGGGTAAGCAAGAAGTAGGAGCCCTGGTGGTGCAGTGGTTAAGAACTTGGTTGCCGACCAAAGAAAGGGTCAGCAGTTCGAATCCATCAGCCGCTCCTTGGAAACCTTATGGGGCAATTCAACTCTGTCCTATAGGGTCGCTGAGTCGGAATCAACTCGACGGCATTGGGTTTTTGGTTAAAGAAGAAATGGAGCCTTGGTGGTGCAGTGGTTAAAGTGCTCTGCTGCGAACGTAAAGGTTGGTGGTTCAAACACACCAGCCACTCTGTGGGAGAAAGATGTGGCAGTCTGCTTCCGTAACGATTAGTCTTGGAAACCCTATGGGGCAGATCTACTCTGTCTTGTTGTTAGGTGCCGTTGAGTCGGTTCCGACTCTCAGCGACCCTGTGTATGACAGAACGAAATCCTGCCCGGTCCTGCGCCATCCTCACAATCGTTGTTATGCTTGAGCCCATTGTTGCAGCCACTGTGTCAATCCGTCTTGTCAAGGGTCTTCCTCTTTTTCGCTGACCTTCTACTTTACCAAGCATGATGTTCTTCTCTAGGGACTGATCCCTCCTGATAACATGTCCAAAGTATGTCAGACATAGTCTTGCCATCCTTGCTTCTAAGGAGCATTCTGGCTGTACTTCTTCCAAGACAGATTTGTTCGTTCTTTTAGCAGTCCATGGTATATTCAATATTCTTCTCCAACACCACAGTTCAAAGGCATCAATTCTTTGGTCTTCCTTATTCATGATCCAGCTTTCACATGCATATGAGGTGAAAGAAAACACCATGGCTTGGCTCAGGTGAACCCAAGTCTTCAAGGTGACGTCTTTGCCTTTCAACACTCTGCCCTGTAGGGTCGCTGTGAATCAGAATTGACTTGAGGGCAGTGGGTTTGGGTTTTTTTATTTTAAGAAATCATGCATCACCTGCATGTCAGTTTGTTGTTCTGTGGTGGTTTGCATGTTGCTATGATGGTGGAAGCTATGCCCCTGGTATTTTAAATACCAGCAGGGTCATTCACGGTGGACAGGTTTCAGCAGAGCTTCCAGACTAGGATAGACGAGGAGGAAAGGGCTGGCGAACTACTTGCAAAAATTAGCCAATAAAAACCTTATGAATCACAAGCGAACATTAACTGGCTTGCTTTGGATACGTCCTCAGGAGGGATCAGTTCCCAGAGAGGGGGTCATCCTGTTTCGTGAAGTAGAGGGCCAACGCGGTCCTGGGAGACCTCGGTGAGACGAACTGGCACAGTAGCCGGACTGACGGCCACGAACGTGCTGGCGATTGTGAGAACGATGCAGGACCAGGCAGTGTCATGGTCAGGCCAGAGGTTTTTTGTCCGTGGGTGGGAAATAGGAGGTGGCCGGGATGAGCTGACTTCTCTATTTCCCATGGAACCAGGCAACAGAAGATGGGTGCCCGGTTTTCGCAGCCGTGGCGGTCCCCGAGTGGCCCATGGACCTGGTGAGGTCACGGTCAAGCCGGAGGGGCCTTGCGTCTTGGGAGACGGGGTGGGGGTGGCCAGCTGCTCTGACCTCGCCAACCCCTCTCGACCTGCAGGACGCCGGCGGCCGGAGATGGGCGCCCGCCCCTCGAGGCGGCAGCAGCCTGAGGACCCGCCCATGGCACTGGACGCGCTGCCCCCCGAGCTGCTGGTGCACGTGCTGAGCCACGTGCCGCCGCACGCGTTAGTGACGCGCTGCCGCCCTGTGTGCCGCGCCTGGCGCGACGTGGTGGACGGGCCCAGCGTGTGGCTGCTGCAGCTGGCCCGCGATCGCAGCGCCGAGGGCCGCGCGCTCTACGCGATGGCCCAGCGCTGCCTGCCCAACAGCGAGGACGAGGAGGAGTTCCCGCTCTGCGCCCTGGCGCGCTACTGCGTGCGCGCGCCGCTCGGCCGCAACCTCATCTTCAACTCCTGCGGCGAGCGTGGGTGACCGGGGCGGGGCCGGGGGCGGGGCCGAGGCGACCCAAGGGGTGTTCAGGGTGCGGGCGGGACAGGGGCAGGGGC